AAGTCATGTGATGAGCAATGGTCAACACTCCACAATGTGCATTTAGAAATGCCTGCTGTATCGCAGGCATGGATCTAAGCTTAGTGGTGAACAGAACAGGGGAAACATCACTATGTGGGAGTAATAGATAAAATAAGCAAAATATACAGGGCAACATGGCAGTAAGTGTTCAGGATAAAAATAAAGAAGGGATGGTGAGGGGCTAGGATTTTAAACTCAGCAGGCAGAAAAGCTTAGGGAAATCCTGTGAGGACGTGTTATTGGAGGAAAGATATGAGGGAGCAGGCCACAAAGATAAAATGAAAAACTGTACTCTTTGCAGAGGGCACTGCAAATGCAAAGGCCCTAAAGGCACAAAATTTATTATGAAAGTCAGATCATTAAGGAAGGGAAATGAGTTGGAAGAATGTGACAGCAGACGGGAGACTTAAGATCACTGAGTGACCTAAAAATTCTTACATCGGAAGCTCTCCTGAGGGCAGTGGGAGTTCGCAGGACACTATGCTGGGGGTCAGAAGACTGTGTGCTGAGGGCTTGTGAGGCTCAAAGACACTATTAGTGGCTATGAGAGAGGTCACAAGTAATGGTGAAAGATGACAATGGAGAGTCAACAGACACCCTGAAATTTCTGTCTCTATACATAAATCATTTTTTAAAAATTGTGGTATCCCTTTCTTAATAAAAATACTCAGTGGGGGACTGGACATGCACGACTGTGTTAGATTCAACAGAAGAATGAAAAACACCCACAGTTCTGTTAGACCATGTGTTCTGCAACCAACAACTCACAGAATTCAGGATTTGTCACTACTGTATACATGATGTTGTTTTACCATTCCATTTGTTGGCACTGTACCTAATCCACAGGAAACAGGATTATCATTTACATGACAACATAATCTTTTCTATGATGAATTTGGTAACAGTGTTCCATCATATTTTTCATAGAAGACTTCTATTAATGTATCAATTTGACTCAGTTCATGCTCAGGATAAATGCCCCAAAGATTAATGAAGCTGTTGACAATGTGGGAGTGGTCTCCTGACTCATTCAGTGCCTCCTCAGACGTCCTCTTTTGAAAAGGAATGTGTGACATTCTGATGTGGATGTTTCTACTTACAATAATATACATTTTTTCTGCAGCATGGATTCAATTATGTACAATCAGAAATGTCCTCAGCGATGTTTTTTCAGTTTCTCACGAGTATGAATTCTTTGATGCATGCTCAGCACTGATTTCTGAACAAAGCCTTTCCCACAGACTGCACACTTGTAGGGTTTGTCTCCAGTGTGTGTGGTCTGGTGTTTATTCAAATTGGACCTATCGGTGAAGGCCTTCCCACACTCAGCACACACATAAGGCTTCTCTCCTGTGTGAATTCGCTGATGTACCAGAAGCTGAGACTTGGAGGTAAAGGATTTCCCACAATCACTGCATTCATAAGGTTTCTCTCCAGTATGAATTCTATTATGTCTAATCAACTCTGACTTCTGCCTGAAAGTCTTCCCACATGCAGAACAAATGTAGGGCTTTTCCCCAGTATGAGTTTTCTGGTGGTTACTCAGATTTGACCTGGCACTAAAGGCTTTCCCACACTCAGCACACACATATGGCTTCTCTCCTGTGTGAACTGGCTGATGCACCAGAAGCTGAGACTTGGAGGTAAAGGATTTCCCACAGTCACTGCATTCATAAGGTTTCTCTCCAGTATGAATTCTATGATGTGTAATCAACTCTATCTTCTGTGTGAAAGTCTTCCCACACTCAGAACAAATGTAGGGCTTTTCCCCAGTATGAGTTTTCTGGTGGTTACTCAGAGTTGTCCTGCCACTAAAGGCTTTCCCACATTCAGCACACACATAGGGCTTCTCTCCTGTGTGAACTCCGTGATGCACCAGAAGCTGTGGCTTGGAGGAAAAGGATTTCCCACAGTAACTGCACTGATAAGGTCTCTCTCCAGTATGAATTCTCTGATGAGTAATAAAGTTTGACTTACACATGAAGGCTCTTCCGCACTCAGTACATACATAGGGTTTCTCTCCTGTATGAATTTTCTGATGCACAATGAGGATTGATTTCTGGTTGAAGGCTTTCCCACATTCACTGCATTCATAGAGTTTTTCTCCAGTATGAATTCTCCGATGCCTGAAGAGAGATGATACTTGGAAAAAGGATTTTCCACATTCATTGCATTTATAGGGCTTCTCTCTACTGTGGGTTTTCTCATGTATAATAAATTCTGGCTTCCGTACAAAAGCCTTCCCACATTCAGTACATACATAGAGTGTTCTTCCTGTACGAACTTTGGGATGTACCTTGCGCTGTGACTTCTGAGTGAAGATCTTCCCAACATCAGCACATTTGTAGGATTTCTCTCCTGTATGAATTTTCTGATGTTGAGAGGGAGCTTGTTTGTAACTGAGGATTTTTCCATATTGATTATGATCCCTTAATTTCTCTCCTGTTGGAGAACACTGATAGTCAGTATAGGAAGATATTTTATCATATTCAGTAATTTTTTAACATTGTTTGATGCATTATTTCTATTACGACTATGTAAATATAAATTATGCTTCAGACCATTTCCAAATGAGTCCCCTTGGTGGGGTCTTTTGGGGGAAGGAATAATGTTTGGGCTCACCTGAATTATTTCTCTAATATCCTTATATTCGTAATGCCACTGTCGCCAATATTTTCTTGATGAAAGCAACATCAGTTAAAGACTTATTTTCTCTTTTCTGATAGCTCTCTATCTGGTCACTAATCTGCAATTCTTATAGCATGAAATACAGCAAAACATCACTTTTTTCTTCACTTTCCTTCTCAATTTTTAAAGAAGCTTTTTAATAAATTCTGTACTATAAGAGCCAGCAGAGGCTATAGGGGAGGTTACATATTGGCTCATCTAGGTCAAATGCAGAGAAAAGGGTGAGGGTGAGTAATTTGATGAGGAAGGTGGTGATAGTGTTGATAGGAAACATTCTGGGATACTATTCAGCAGTTAGAAGAAATAAATCACGTGAACAGCTTACATCTGGACAGATGTGGAAAAAGGCAAAGAATGTGATATATAGCACAGCAACATTTATATCAACTAACGATACGTACCCCTAATTGACTTCAAATTTTACAGCATAAATGAATTTAAAAATATTTCCATCATATAAAATACGTGGCCTGTGGTGGGAAGGGAGATAGGCATGGTGAACAGAGAGAAAAGGGAATAAATCAAAAAATAAAATGAATTAGAGAATTCTCATCCAGACTCATGATGATAATGTGTCCTAAATTAAGGACTATGATTAAACTCCAACATCCTCAGGTTAAGTTTAGAAATAAAGCAATAACATAAAAAATCAACCGCCCAGGCAAAGAGACCCTAGTCATTATAGAGTCATTAAAACAACAGAAGGAAATGTCAGGAAGAATGATTAATAGTGTGCAAAAAATAACCACCACATTATTCATCTGCAGAAAATAATCTGTCAGGAAGGGTGATTAATACTCTGCAGATATTATCCTACAGAATAACCTACAGAAAATAATCAA